AAATTGCATCTCGTTAAACGTTGAATGTTTGATTGATAAAACAAAGCCCGCCAACATTTCCTAAACAAATAGCTGCATTCGATTTTGAAGAATAAAAGAACTCCAATTCTATAAGTTCTATGACATTGAAGTTATGAAAAAGCAAGAATAGAGAGCAAGGCCGGAAATGGGAACATTTACATGAACCTCTGAACTGTACCTGATACTCGCTATCCGTAACAGAGACAGCAGCTAGACCATCAGTGCGTACATAACAATGACAGTAGTACTCGTTCTCCTTCACAGTGCTACGAGCACCCATTCCTGATCTTTCCACGAGCAGCTTACCCGTAAATTGCATGAACTCCTAAAGTTGGTAAGATGTTGTATATATAATGGTGGCAAATAAGTCGAGAGAAAAATTAAAAAGTTGCTGCAAAGATAACTCACTTGAACTGAACCCCTTTGGAAGAAACTGAAAGATGACAAGTCAAATGCTGATTTAAATGACCGCACAGAACTGTCGCTTCCTTTATGGTAGATTAAGATTGAATAAAGTTTCATCTAAAAACAAAATGAGGCACTTAGAGGCAAGCAGAGCATTAGGAAGATAAAAGGACCAATAACCTTCGTTGTAAAATCAGAAGGGGTCAGAATCACATAATTTATTATTATCAAAGGCATCTAGCAAATAGAGCGAGTTGACAGGCATATAGTTCTTTGATTGTACAACAAAACATACCAGAGCAGCTATACAGCAAAAAGTAACATTTGAGATACAATGGGGATAGCAACATAACCATATGAACACATATGTATGCTCTCGTAAAATTTACACAATCCTTAAAAGTTTAAGATAAAGAAATCCCTACCACAAGACTAGGACAATACATAGGTAAAAAAATAAACTACCTTATAGAGGTAAGGAATTCAAAAATAATGATTACTGGAGACTTCATTACCGCGCTTTTAAACCTTAGAGGAGAGGCTACATTAGTAATGGTTGAATCGCATTTGTCCACTTCCGTTCAAACTCCAGTTCGCTGAAACGGCTCACTGACGATCGAGCAGCTTCTCGCATTTGATCGCGCTCCGTTCGCGACATATCAAGAATGTGTAGTATAAGTCGCACATACTCTATAAGTAGAGTCATATAAAGTCCAAAGTTTATAGGAATCCGGTAAAATGCTTAAGTACTAAAGAGTAGATAGACATAAGATAAGTTGAAGTTTTAACTAAGTTCATATTATTGGATGACTCGATATAAGCTACATTCGCCAAGTTCCCAAGAAAATATTGCTCATGTTTAAGAAGAAAGTCTGCGTCATTGTCAGAATATTGTCATTTCATTTTTGCATCTAATATCTAGTACTAGATAAGTGTGGTACAGATGCAAAAAGTCAGATGGCAAATATATTGTTTTGAGAGTGATAAAGAAGGATTTTAAAAGATGAAGGGAAGCGTCGGCCCTGTGAACAATTATGCACTTTACTTACCGTCTTTTGTAGAAGCAAGAAATCCAAGTGGTTGATTTTGCTTGCTTAAAGCTGGTCGTAGAATATCAAGTTCAGGCCCACCTGAAGAAGAGTTTTTATAACCTGCTGCCAGTATATTACCAAGAACTACAAAATTCACCGGAGTCATGCGCCAGCATGATTGTACCAGCAGCCATGCCTTCGACGACAGAGATGCCAAAATGCTCGTTCCACATTGTATGTATCGAAATTAACGACTCCTAAAATCCTCTAAATTTACACGTTTGAAAATGAGCATTAAACAATCAATGAATCCGGCCAGTGTAATTACATACAGCCAGAGAAGAAAAAGCTTCAGAGATCACATCGACTTTGGGGTAAGTCGCAGATGTTCTGCCTTATGGACGCACATCATTTACAACAATTCACCGTCAAAATCATATTCTTTCTTGGTAGGTATTATTGATGCTTAGAAATGTGTCAATGTGTAATTGCAATCCTTTGAACAGGCTATCAATGGAAACTCTATACTGCAAGGTTACAGTAGTCGCAATTTTAGTAGGACACATTATGTTGGTAAAAGACAATGTTGGTAAAAACTGCCATTGGCTTTGTCTAAACGAAGTAGTACTAACTGCTTGACATGCTCTAGGAATTACACATTTTTCGTTGAAGATAACTGTATATCTCGGTAGCAGATAATAAAATCCAATACTGAATTTTTTTT